GTGTGGATTGTTTTGCTGGATGTCAGCTGCTTGCCATCCTTGAACCATTTCACCTCTGTCTTGCTGTCAGCAACCTCACAGCTAAGTATGGCTCTTTGGGAAAGGGTGGCTTTCACTTCTTTCTGAACAGACTCCTTTTTGAAGAAGGCAGACTGAACTTGAATGTCTGCAGATGGTATAAATGTGTTAGTTTTCCAGCAATATTCTACTTTTCTGGATGCTTATTGGCAGTATCTTAGAAATGAACCAACCAACCACATGTCAGTTTACTGCTGGATCCTACCTTCCACTTGCAGTTTGAAGACAAGCTTTTCAGAACCAGCCTCACAGATGTACTCTCCAGCATCTTTAATCTCCAGGCTCTCTATCATCAGCTGGCGACTTTTTCCTTTTGACTCTGTATGTACCGTCCTGCTAGAAGTGAGAAGCTTTCCATCTTTGTACCATTTAACCTCTGTCTTCGTGTCAGACACTTCACAACTGAGTGTGGCTTTCTGAGACACAGCGGCTTTAACATCATTCAGGACCGACTGCTTGTTTGAGAAAACCGACTGGGCATCTAATAACACAGTTATAAGAGAAAACACATCAGACAAATCCTTGTAAAAGTATCAACAAAACACATTTACCTGCCAAATGTATCTTAAAGGCCAGTAAATATTGTTCACTGCTTTTTTTTTTTTTTACCTGGAAAATATGAAACTAAAATATTTTTTTTGGAAAAAAATATTTGTAAGTGGAAAATATTTTTAGATGTAAAAGCAAGAAAAAACAAAGACAACACTTAGTTTCGTTTAGCTTTCAAACTTTTTGTAGTTTAAAAATGTAAGTTTAGGTTTTATTTCTTTTTCCATTTTCAGAAATACTTTTGGTTTCTAAATGTTCTTTTTCAGGTTCGCAACAATTTTTCAGTTTGATATAATTTTTTTATTTATTTTAGAATTCATCTTTCATAAGATGAAAAGCAAAAGAAAACAATTAGCAATGGCTTTTTTGCCTTTTGATTGGCTAAAATCAAACTTTGGTAGCCAATCAGCTCAGAAAGTTCTGCTGAATGTCCCTCCTTGTTACCCAACAGATTTGATGGCAGCAGCTCCAGATTGATAGCATGTGGAACTAGAACGAGACTGCCACACATTATTAATCTGGCTCACCATACTAGCTAGTTTTGCATTTAAAGTGAATCAGAACTTTGGTTAAAGAGGATAGTTACAATGTTTCAAAAGTGAACATAGTTTAAAAATGGAAAATTTTTCAGTGAAAGCTTTGGGAGAAACAATTCCAGACAAAGGTAATAGTTACGTTAATATGAAAAGCGTGAAATATGGATGGATGGACAGATGTTGTAATATTTATTCTGTAAAATATGTACTAAAACCCACCATAAAGGCACAGCTGCTGACGAATCTCTAAGGTCAGAGGTTCCAATCATGGCAGTACCAGTGTGTTGTAGAATCTCATACACTGTGCAGCATTTTGGACTAGCTGAATGCTGCTGACAGCTGGTTTTGGACTTAAGCAGTTTTTTCTGTAGTACCACTGATGTTTTTATTCATCTTGACATTGTTTCAGGTGAGTAATTCAGTTTACTGTGGAGCAAGCTACATATCTTATGCTATTTAAAATGCGTATGCCTGAACAAAGTGTTTGCTCTGTCAACCTTCCCTTTTCTACTGTTGCTATGAAAAACCTTAATGTTCCTAGATAGCATAGTTTAGTGGTACAATTGCTGATCTGATACCTGGATTGGATATTGGCTCTGATATTGATAAATTAGCTGGATCGGATTTCTGCCATTTGATATTGGATATCAGAGATCCAAACTAATGAACTTTATATATAGAGCTGTTATGTCTTTCTTTTTGCTACATATTTACTAATAATTAAAGTACATTTATATCTGTGTTGATGTGTTACATTTTTAACAATATTTATGTAAAGGCTTAAGCCTTCACTAACAGGGCACGATATATGGTTACAGTTGAATAGGATCGATATCGGATAGCAGCCGATATGCTCAGCCCAGGTATCGGTATCGGACTGAATCAGAAAAAAATCTGGATTGATGCATATCTAGCCTAGAGTAATCCTTCCCCACATAAACACACAGCTAATGTTCAAGTAACTTTAAGCGATATTTGCTTGGTGAATAAGCATGTCACATACATGCACACTTTTCATCTAACTGAATCTCAGTCTAATTCTCGTTATGGTTGAGCTGTCTTTAAAGGATTTGAAACGACTGGAGTCAGGGACTAATCTAACGTCTTGAAACCTGTTGGTTTTGTACTGTTGCTACTATGCAGTCTAAATTTGCCTTTTCTTGTGCACAGCTTGCAAAACTTTATCATAGACTGTGCACTCTATCTTGTTGACCAGCAAATGCTTTTCACATGTTGCAGTGATGTTTGCAGAGAATGAAAGGCTGTAGTTGCTGCTTCAGTCTCTTGTTGTCATGTGTGCTGTGCACTGCTCAGACAATGCAGAGGGTGGCTGACAAACTGTTACATCATAATATGAAGTAAAATACAAGTAGATGAACAGATACTTTCTATTGTTATTAACCATATTCAAGCACTCCTACCAGATACAAATATCTTGAAAACCAGCTTTTCCCCTCCAGCTTCACATGTGTACTCTCCAGCATCACTCTTCTCTATATTTTCAATCACCAGCTGACGAGTGGTGCCTTTTGCCTCCCAGTATATTCTCCTACTCGACTCCAGTAGCTTTCCATCTTTGTACCATTTCACCTCCGTCTTGGTATCTGCCACTTTGCAGCTCAGCGTTGCTCTCTGGGTAAGGATGGCTTTGATCTCTGTCTGAACTAATTCCTTATTGGAGAATACAGCTGCTGCTTGGGACTCTGGGAATAAAAACAAAGTTTGCCTCATTTTATAGCATCAACCTTAAAACAAAATAATCAATGCTACCTGTAGAAAAAAATAGGTGTACCTTTTATCTTTACATGGAATGTGACTTTGTCAGCTGCTGTCTCACATGAATAATATCCTTCATCGATTTTCTTGGCGCTCTTAATAATGAGTTTCCTTTGGGTCCCTTTGGAGATTATGGTTGTTCTTTGGTCCTCACTAATCTCCACTTTATCCTTTTTCCAAATAACAGCAGCACTCGCAGAAGATACCTCACAACTCAGCTCAAGGTCTCCTCTAAGGGAGGATGACATTCCCATGGGGCCCCTGGCTTTATTGAGAAATTTGGCAGGCTCATCTAGGCAGAGGTGGATTATACGGGAATTATTTCTTGTATAGGTCAATAGTTTTCCAAACAAGGCTTATAACCAATGATCTGTGTGCATTAATGAACTTTAAAACTATTTTAAAGTTCAAAAGTACTTACCTTTCAATGTGAGCTGAAAGGACATCCGGTCATCAGCTAAGACACACTCATAAAGGCCCACATCTTCTTCTGTAACATTGTGAACTATCAGTATCCTCTTGCGTTCTTGTATAACTGATTCATACTTCTTCCCCATTTTCACCTCTCGCCCATTCCTCATCCAAGCCACCTAAAGAACCAAACATTACGTAAATCAAGATTTCTAACAGCACAGAACTAGCAGCATACTATTCATCTTATCTTCTCAATAGCCCTGACCAGGTTTTAATCCCTGCTATAGAAATTTCTTCCCACAAGATAAAGTTGCCGCAACAACGCTGTAGGGTTTTCCCCCTCAAATGTTTATGTCTTCACCAAACAGTTCAAAGTTGTATCTTTAAAAAAAGAGAAATTCCATCTGAACAGTGGATCTCTGCATAATGTGCAGATTTACCATTAGCCTCTTGGCTGCATTTCTGCTCAATGTTCTCCTTAGCTGGCCTGTGTATAGAAGGTCATGCCTTGATAGTTTTATAGCTTCTCCGAATCTTTACCCTTGACATGTCTAGTGTGTTCATTAGTCTTCTTACTGCTGTCTGAACCCTTCCTTAGGATAATTCCAAAGGATATTGCTGGCACTAGATCGTATTTTAGGGAATTAGAGTAAAGGAGGGTGAAAACATCTGCACAGTAAATCAGATTTCTAGTTCTCCCAGAATTTAGGAAACAATCAAATCCCAGTAAAAGGCTGTAACATGACTTAAACAGTTCAAGATAATTAACTACGAGAAAGCATATCCTCAAAATGGTCAAGGTGGTAAAGAAACATGTTTGTCCTACAAACCTGAGTCTCATAGTCTGACACCTCAGCACTCAGCTGAGCTGTCTCTTGGACGCTGCAGGTCACAACCTCTGGATGGTCAGACTTGTTGGTGAACTTGATAGAGGGTGCTAAAACACATTTTTGCACTTAATAGGCATGACTGAAAAATATCACTCAGATAAAGTCCAATGCAGAAAATATCTATTCCATTTTAAACTGCATACCCTTCACAGAAAGGATGCAACTGCTCTGGGAACCTCCACCCACAAACTTGATTTCGACTCCATTCATTTCCATCGTCACAACACGAATGAGTAATGTGTGTATATTCTTGGACCTGGTGATAAGGTACTCTGATCCACTCCGCAGAAGACGTCCATTTAGGGACCAGAAGCCTGAGCAAGCAGCTGACAGCTCGACAGAGATGGAGAACTCCTCTCCAAAGACTGCAGTACTGTTCATCAGACCTTTCCTGATTTCAGCAGTGGGCTCTGAAGAACAATAGACAAGGACAAAATTATAAAGTAGAAAAAAATAACAATAATAAAAAAAAACATTAAACATATAAAATAAGGATAATAAAACAGAGACTTACCAAGGTAAAAACTACCAGGTACTTCCAAATAGGGACTCTGACCAAAAGCATTTGTGGCAGAAATTCGGAACTGGTAGCTAGCTTCCTCTGCAAAACTGCGTATGGTGATCTCTGTTGTTGTGAGGATTTCTCCAGCATTGCACCTCTGCCAGGTGGAAGCACCAACCTTTCTCTTCTCCACGATGTACCCATTAATGGGTACAGGGCGGTCACTGTCAGGGGGAGACCACTGAATGGTGATGGATGAGTCAGTCTTGTTCTGCACCACAGCATCGACTGGGGGATCAGGGGGATGTTTCCTGGGAGCTGCAATAAGATGAAAGTGTTATAGATGTTATCTTCTCCTTGTTTCACACTCCCGTTTAGTGTGGTGGCTCCTGTTAGAGTCTAAGGATGTAGAGGGACCATTTGTCATAATTTACCCCAGCTCAACTTGTGGTTCCTCGTCTACAGTTGTGGTTATGTTCTAGAACACTCCACAATAGCGTAAAGGCCTATATCCTGCCTACAGCTATTAACATATACAGCAAATTGTTGAAAAATACCCTATGAATTACAACAGCATTTCATTACAGTGCAGGAGTTTGTCAGTTCAAGCCTTTCGGTGTCTTTGTGTCCTTGGGCAATACACCCTCATTGCCTACTGATGGTGGTCAGAGGGGCCAATGTTACATGTGTATGTAAACCTTATTTCTTTCAGTGAGCCCTAGGGAAGCTGTGGTTACATAGTAGCTTGCAACCATGAGTGTGGTGAGTGAATGGGTTAATAACTAAATGTAATGTAAAGCACTTTGGTCAAAACCCCTATAGTCAGGTAATTTACCCACTGAGATTGATTAAGTCTTTTAAAATGTAATGGAATTATCATCCAAAAGCAACCCGTTTTGTTATAATGGTGTTCCTTCATCAAAAATAGTCACTAACTGGTATGATTCATGTTATCTGAATAATCCTCATGAATTTTGCCCTTTGAGAAGCAGTTTGTCTCTTTCAAGAAAAGAATGTCTGGCCAAGACATTTCTACATATAGCTGTCATTACCTGCTCCCTCCGGGAAGTGTACAAAGTAGTGACTTTCTATTTATTTTACATTTATATATATGTAAAAGCTTTTAAATCTATCCCCAGACCCCAAACATCATTCCCATTTGTGGATTATGCATCAAACATTATGGATAATGTTGCATAGAACATGAAATCAATCCCATAAGTATAGTCTCATTTTTTGATGAAGAGTCACAGTTTTTAGTTTGTGCAATAAATGGGTATGTTACAAGTTACCTACAAAGATTGCAACTCAAATGTTTAGATGTGCAAACCGATTTGGTTTCACACATTGTAATGAGCACATTACCGGTACCTATTTTACAGACAGTTTGAGAGTGGCTGTAAAGAAAGATGAGGTTCAAAGCCATGGAGATTAGGATAATAATGATAATTAGTATAGGGATGATAATAATAATAATAATAATAATAATAATAATAATAATAATAATAATAATAACAATAATAATAATAATAATAATAATAATAATAATAATAATAATAATAATAATAATAATAATAAAACAAATCAATTTTATAGTGCAGCTAATTATCTCTCTCAAAGTGTTGGGATAAAAGAAAAAATAAAACTGAAACATTACTGTACTTTGTATTGAGGGAGAAAAACCTTCACTGTTGCAAACTATGAACAATGACCATAATATAAAGTAGATTATAGGCATTGCAAAGTATTTTTAGACCAGTCACCTTGTCTGCATGGTGGATAAGATAAATGGGCTGGATGCAAAACAAGGGGCTCTGCCATGTCTCACCAAATATAGAACAAAATTGAGCATTTATGAGAGAAATTTCTAAAGATGACTTGACTTACCAGTGACAGAGAATCGTGTTGAAGTCTTACAATCTCCAGCTATGAAGGCCACTTCTCCAGAATCATCAGCCTGGCAGTCTTTAATTGTTAATGTGTACTGTCTAAGTACACAGGCAATCGAAGTACGTGAATCTTCCTTCAGTTTCTCGCCATTGCGAGTCCAATGGGCATCTGGACAAGGATGCTCCAGCTCAACACAGAAGATGACCGTGTCACTGACAGGAACGATTGTTCTCCGAGGAAGCTTCTTTGTGATATTACCTAGTACAATAGAGGGAGATTTCTAATAGAAATATTTGTAGCAGATAAACAGAATATAAACGGTTTAAAAAGAATTATTTTGTAAACCAATGGAACAACTTTAACAGCTGCATTATTGCAATTAAATACCCTTTTGAAATTACAGCTAAGTTGCCCTTACAGTCTTGAAAAAAAGGTTTACCCTACCCAGGACAGTGAGCTCAGCCACAGTGCGGCTGCCTTCTTTCATCTCACAGATATAAACTCCATCATCATTCGTGGTGACATTATGTATGGTGAGGCGACGCAGCGTCCCTTGCTCGTCCATGCGATATTTGATGTTTTGCTCCAGCATGGTTTCCTCCATGAACCAACTGGTTTGGGTGGCATTAAGGGGCACCTCACACAGGAGTGTGGCTGAGGCCTTCTCTTGTACCTCCACATCCTGTAGCTTCCTCTTAAATGGAACTTTTGGCTCTGAGTAAAAGCAAAAAGAAGCAAATCTGTTGATTGTTACAATGAAAAAAGACTAAATGGTGTAAAGTGCAACACCTGCTTGTAAAATAAAATAAAGTAAAATATTTATTAACAAATTAAATTATATTTAATCATCCTTACCATTGGTAAATCTGAATAAGATGCATTAAAATGGATTTCTAATTTGCTAATTTGAAATTTTTATTTTTTATTTTTGGAAAATATAGCATTTGATTGTAATGCATTATGGGGGAAACCAATATTTACTTACTGTTAACATTATGATAATATCTTCTGTCTGTTTTTAATTGAAAGCCACTTTGGTCAATGAGGTTGCTGACAAACATACTACAGAAATAAAATGGATGTTTGATGCAAATTTCTCGTAGCCATTCTTCAAAACTGGAAAGACAATGGAACATTTCAAGAGAGGCAGATGTTTTTTCCGATTTCTCTTGTTAGAAAATGGTTGCAAAAAAGAGTGACTCACTCTATCTTTCCTACATCTGCAGACAGAGAATTAATTGAGATATTAAAAGCAGCTTAAACTCTGCGTGAATTGCTCTAGAAACATGTTAGGGGCTGCAGTTCAAGAACTGTATTTTGGTTTAAGTTTAACTCTGTTTATTAAAAAATCACTTGCTACTCTACATAGATGCTCATTTGATATGTTTTCCATAGTCTATTAGATAAGGGCATAATCAGACAGAATAGCTCTCAAACGTAAGCCTTGTTTACATTTCCCTGAATCATTGAAATATAATGCCTTTCATCACCTGATACGTACATTACCTATCTAAACAACTTCAGAGATACTGTTCTCTATTTTTATTTATAGATTCCTGTTTTTATTCTTTATTTGTCAGATTATATAAATACTTTATATTATACTTTAGTCCTTACTCACAAACATAGACTTAAAGGTTGTCATAACATCTGGTGGTTTACCTATTGCTGAGATAAAAGAGTGAGTAAAGGGTTTTTTTTAATTAATCAGTATATTGGACAAACTCAAACATTAGCCTAAAACCAAAATTTACTCATTATATAATATATTTTACTCTGCTGAATACATATAATAGAGGTGCTATAAAAAACCTACTCATAAAAGAATATTTTCTTTAGACATAAAGGTAACATCATAGAACCATACTATCAAATATTGAAATCTGCAAACATTAATTGTTGTCATTACAAGTATTTTTTTTGCTGTTTAAAGAGAATATTATATCACCCATTCTGACTTTGTTTCTTCGATAAATTTTGTTTTCGAATAAATTGTTTCTCTAATGAGCCCTGCATCATCCTTAGATCACTCATCATTACACTGCATGCAGGTTATGAGGCAACACAGTTCTACAACTCTACTGTTTCATTCTGTGAGCCAAGTTTCTCCCTGGAAGAAGTGTCACTTGCAGTGCGTCAGTGTGGCTCAGGAAGGCCAAGTCCATCTGAGAAACCGTGAACTAGTCATCACCAGCAGAAAATAGATGAAACACAACACCTCTCATTGGGCCATGATGAATTTACCCATGTAATCTACGGCCGTTGACATTTAGGTACATTTAGGGTGTATTACATTAATATAAAATGGTAATTACAGTCATACATAGAATATCACTTTTATTGTGACTTTAAACATCACAACTATGGCTGTCAACACAGAATCAAAACTGTTCAGTAAAATGAATAGGATGATTATAGCATACTAAGCAAATGATCCTCCCTCGCAGCCTTCTTTTGTGTTCCACAGAAGAGCAAATGTGTGGTGATCTGGAGCTCACAGTGCAGAATTAGGGCCTACAGTTTCATCTACAATACCTAAGCTTTAAGAAAGACCCATCTTCATAATCCTTCAAATCTGGTACAAGTACCAAGGGCGGCAATTGGGTTGCCTTTTGAGGTACAGTAAAAATGATGTGTATATCAAGAGTTTTACAAGAGTTTTGTATTTAGATACCATTTTCATGGTATATAAATACATATTAAAATACATATTAAATACATAATAAATACATATTAAATACATATTTAGATACCATTTTCATGGTATCTAAATACACAGAAATAGTGAACTATGAATTGGTGCCGGTGGACACAAATACGCCTTTTTAGTCAACTTTGTGGTCCAAAGCTGAATATTTGAAGCAACAGGAGAACCAGAGAACATTTGAGGTCTTTAAAAGGATTTTGTGTGACCTACTCTATGCATGTACAGCCTATACAACAAAGAAAAGTTTTTATTTGTTGGTTTTCCAATCATTTAATAGTTAATAGAAAAAATAAAGAGCTTTTCTAGGAATATCAATTCACCACACTTGGTTAAATAAGGGAGGTTTCATTGAAGAAAGAGTGACTGAATGAACTTTCTTCTAAACCAGGGAAATAAAACGAAAACATATAACTATAACAGTTGGAACATACTGTGTTTTTTTGTTTAAAACTCACCACTCTTATTTTTCTTTAGATAAATGGTACTACTTTTGTCTGTTCATCAAAATATTATGTTTAGTTTTGGGTCAGGATGTTTTAAAATGAATATTTTATGACAGATAGTTTTTTGGGGTTGTAATTCTTTAAAGGGACAGCCCAAAATTACAGAAGTTTAAAAGTGTTTTTTTTTTTTTTTAAGTGAGCAATTTAAAAATCTTACCTTTCACTGTAACCAGTACAGCACTATATGTCTGCCCTGCCATATTGGTTGCATTGCACGTATAGAGACCATTATCGTTCTGCTTGCAGTACAGGATCTTGAGGATGAAGTTCTCGGCTTGGTCCTCATAAATGACGTGCCTGCGTCCCTCGCTGATGTTCAGCCCATCCTTTCTCCAGATGATGTGTGGTTTGGGGTGACCTGTCACAAAGCAGCTAAGTTTGGCGTGTTTGCCCTCAGTGACCGTGCAGGTGCGGGTGAATACACCTTTAGGTAGACTTGCCAGTGCTGAAGCCCTCAGCTCATGCTCCAGACTCACAGTATTCAGGGCATTGGTTATTTTGGCTGTGGAGAGGGAGCTGTTTTCCTCAGTGCGGTAGATGGAGATGTCCTTCTTCATTTCCTCTTTGCGCTTTTGCATATGAGAAAGGAGAGAGGTGCTTTTGTCTGCAGACATGTGGCGGGCATCCTGAGCATCCACCACCAGAGCAGCAGCAGCCTGGGCGCGCCCCACAGAGTTCTGGGCCCTGCAGATGTAGGTACCACTATCCAGGTTGCGCACACCTTGGATCTTTAAGGTGCTGCTGTCGCTGTCTGACATGATCTTGATGCGGTTTGTCTCACCTAGGTAACGTCCGTCCTTCTCCCACTCAAAGTTGGCCTCTGGGTGAGCCACAACTCGGCATTGGAAAACAATATCTCCTCCTAGAGCCACACGTGTGGAAGCTGGCTTCACCATGAAAACTGGGGCCCTCTGAGACATCTCTGTTGGGAGGGCCACCTTCAAGGTCACAGCAGCATAAGCTTCCCCAACGCTGTTTTTGGCTCGGCACATATATTGACCACTGTCCTCCAGTGTGAGGTCGTAGATGGTCAAACGGTAGATGTCTCCATCCTCCACAGTCTTGAAACGGCCCCCGGACGAAAGCTTAAGCTTGTCCTTTTCCCAGGTGATTATAGGAGTTGGGCTGCCAACAACAGTGCAGCTGAGTGTGGCATCCTTCCCTACACCCACTGTGAAAGCCTTTGGACGGGTGAGGAACCTGGGGGCTCCTCCAAACAGGTTTTGATCCATTTTTTTTTTCTTTTTACTCCTATGATGAATAAAGTAGATATCATAGTATTAATACTACTACAAAATACAAATAACGCAAATGAATATTCTACAGATAAATTTATATAGGTGTGACCAGTGAATCTCATTCACAAAAGAAAAAAAAAAAAGCATCATTCAAATAATTCCCAAAACTAATTACGTGTTTAACAATTTATCTTTAATGCAGGACTACTTTTCCTTTATTTCCTGGCTGCTGACCATTATCACCAGCAAAGCAAAGAAGTGGGCAGCTTACCAGTATCAGAAAGTCAGTCAGATATGAAAATAAACTGAATCAAAGATCTGAGAAAGGACCTCGTGTCCAGCAACCCTATGTTATTTAATTTGCTGTATATCAATCTCTACCCTGCTCAGCAATCACCATGTCAATGCTAAAACACAATTATATGCCGAGAATCTGTTCGATAACTTCACAGCCCTAAACCACATTTACTTCTTTGCTGTTTATTTTTTTCTTGTAGTTGTTGTTTTTGGATTTTTGCTTACACTTAAGGTCAAAATGGGTCTTTCACAGACAAACTTCTGAAAGTCACAGCCTTGACAGTGAGGAATAAAATCCAAATCCATTGAAGGAACTCCAAAGACATGAGTAAGCGTGTCCCAAATGAGATTGCCTTTAAATATACTACTTACAATTCAGTTAAGTATATTTACATAGCGCCAATTCATAACACATGTCATCTCAAGGCACTTTATAGAGATAATACAGTCAGATCTGTTCACATTTTTTTCTAGAAGCATCTCAGAACATGGACTAAGTAAAACGGCCAAATTTTAAATCTTACTTTCCCCATAGGATTTATTTTACTCTGTCATTAAAGATGACTGATGGCAGAAGTCACGTTAAAAGAAAAATATAAATTGGACTGAATTCTTCAGCATTGTTTGATTAATTATCCCTAGAGAGTGTCTGGTTGTTTGAAAACCGATTTTTCAAAACTCTTTGAAGAATTGGTGAAACATATAATTAAAGTCAATAATTTACAGTGTCGGGTTCTTAAAGTGAGAGGCAGTACAGAGGTGAAAGAAACTATTTAAAACTGTATTTTACATTTAGATGAAATGAAGTTGGAGATTGGAGTTTGAAAATCTCAGGATGAAAGTAATAATCCCTTTTCCAGAGATAAGAAACAGAGATTCACCCCTAAATAATGCTGGCTATGATATTTTTTTTATTTTTTTTTTAATATAGGATGCTAAACGTGAGCTATATATTTGTTTTTAAAATATAATCAAATCAATTTTACAGCGACTGTTCTCTGACTCTGTGACTATTTTGTTCCAAATACAAATAATGACTGATTATAGGTGAAAGGCTGGGAAAAAAAAGAGTTCTTCACATATTATAGTTGCAAAAGATAAATTGAAATACACTTAACAAGAATCAACAATCAATTATCAGTCACAGCATCAGGGTTAATATATATTTTAATAACAAAACAGAAAAAGATTTGGGATCTAATTAAAAGTATGTAAATAAATGTTAATTAACAGATCTAATGTTATTTTTGTAAGTTCTGCCTTTACTTTTATGGAGAAGATTTGTATAAAGGAAAATAATCAGAATATCTAATTGTGTTAAACAATGTATTCCTTATTATGTAAAGAAATATATATTCTAAAATTGAGAAAAACCCAAAGTAAGAATGGTCATCTATAAACCAGTGTTATCTTGCAAGGAAAACAACATTTCCATATTTTAATTCTTGCTTCAATATTTTAGGATTTTCTAAAACATAAGCAAACAAAATGTCTCAGTGAGCAGATATAGGTATTGGTACCTATACTGATATGTTTAAGGTCCACAAAATAATGAAAAACATTTCAGTTATGACAGAAAACAAACAGTAATACAAATTTTCACTTAAAAACTTTACTTTATATTTCAATATCAAATTAAGAGTAAATTAAGTTAACCAAAGCTTAATGAAACACAATTCATTTTACAGATTTTTCTGTGTACTCTACAGAACTTTTGTGCATTAAACTACAGTTAAGACTGGTATATTTATAGTTGGCAGCTCCTGTAACTTTATACAGGTTCCAGTTCCGCCTCTGCAGACATACATCAAACCAGCCTCATTAAAGCCACACAGCCTGGTCAATTGTTTAATATAAAAACAACAACTAAATTCCCATGTAACAAGGTCATGTAGAGAGTATAGGTGCCTTTCAAAGACTGCCATTTGCCAGCTTTGTCACCTTTGTCACTCGTACTGCCTGTCCCAAAAATAACCTCAGCTGTCAGGGGCTGTCTCTGTACATTTCCATTTGTAGAAACGAAGGGCTGTTTGATAAAGCTGCTACTTTGGAAACATGCTTTATTTCCAGCTCAGGCCATCTCTATCTGCCAGAGAAGCTCAAACCACAATGTACTTTTATAAACAATATAAAGTAGATGACACTTTATAGAGCTGATCGGAAGAAGTTCCTAAGTAAGAAGAAAAATCACATAAACAAAACCAAAACTTTAAATTTGTAACGTTTCCTGTTGTGGCCAGAGCAAACATTAATTGTATTTGTAGTTGTTAAGGGAGAACAATTATTCAACCTTATAACATCTATATGCAGTTATAAATATAAAGACAGACTGATTTATTTCTGATTTCCTATAATAAATAACTTATTTACCTTTAAGTCTTCAGCCTCTCAGATAATTTAGCAGATGAGACATCTGACCTTTGGCTTTTACTAAGATTTCCCGGTTAAGAATCCAGTCAAGTTAGAGAGTGTAATAATTCCAACCCCCAAATAATTTTCGTATCTTCTTTTTGCACAAATATCCGTGAAATGATAGGAAATCCAGAAAGATGGAAGCCCCCCAGTCTCCTGTGGTGGGAGGTCGACTAGACTCCTTTTTCTTTTCTTCTCCAGGAGCTCATGATGCCAAATAGCTGACGTGCTGGGTTTGGTGCAGCCTCCTTTCCAAAATAGACCTTGTCATTTGCAGTAGAGATACGAGAAGGCCTCTGTTGAACAGGCAGGGTAAGGGAAACAGGGACCCCGGTCGGCCTCTGCTGGGTTGGTCACTGCTGCAAGCTACACCCAGCTGAACAACTCACACAGAATTGGAGCTGCACCTGATTTTTCTTTTTATTAATTGATCAATCTATTGATTTTTACAATCAATTAATTAATCTCAAAAGAAAAACCTTTAGTAAATAATCATTCCTTAATGAACAAACACAATTTTTTGCTAATTTCAAATGAAAAAAAATAATCCAGGTTATTTAATTTAAGTAAATAGCTAAGGTTAATTCACACCTACTTCTAAACTGTCATTAAAAATGGTGGTCCACTGCATTAGGACCAGCCTGTTGGTCCACTGAAGGTAGGTAAATATACTAAAAACAGTCACACCATTTTTTCGTAACACCAAAACAAAAAAGGAGAAGTCCACATGATGCTTGCTGTAGTTATGTCTGGTATACTTGAGGTCAAATGTTAGGCTGTGAAAATTACATCTTATTTTCAGAAAGTTGCAAACAAAAAAGCACAAAAATATGGGTGTATAATTTTTTTTTAAACTTGTGAAGATACTTTGCCTGTAGGACAAAATGAAATGTATGACAATAGTAATTATTACTGGTACAGTAGTATATATTTTATAAGAACATGCAACACTTAATATTTCATATGCATTTCTGGAGTTTCTGTTATACTAGAGATCTAAGAATATTTATCAAACAATACTGAATACAGAATCTCTGACAAATAAAAAACAAACATATGATCTTGATCGGATTTATTCAGACACAAACTTTTCCATAAGGGAAAGCAAAATCTCAACACACCTAAAGGCACACGTGTGCAGGTGTTGATATACGGCAGGGGTCAGCAACCTTTTTAAGGCTACTTCATGGGTACTGAGTCATAGAAAGAGCTACCAATACCTTTGACCTGGAGGGGTCGGCATTCACCTAAACTTCATACATACGTAGTAAACAGATTTTTATTGTTTCTTTTTTTTTTTTTCTAATTTTCTTTTAAACAGTGTAATTTTTTAAATATCAATAAATGCAAATAGGATTTAAAAAGAAGGGCAACTGAATAGAATAGAATAAAATTAAAACTTACCCCTCTGGAGATCCAGGAGGGCCACTTGGTGCCGGTGTAGGTACCAGATTGACTCGGGCTGCCAGATTGACTCGGGGGCCTGCGCCTTTTGA